GTTATATAGCTAAACTGACAGCCAGTAATAGTAAGAAGCATTTACCAAGAAGCAGAGCCTCTTTTTCTGAAGTGATGACTCCTCTTGTGATAAGCTCGGTCCTCCGGTCTCTGCTGTGGTACAGAGAAGGAACACACCCGTTGATCCCCTGTGAAAACACATGTGTATGACAAAAGAGCCAAAACATAAGGGTACAAATACACTTTAACTACCAATTACTACATGAAGCTGATAACAGAGGGCTGGGAAACACCCGGAAATGAGTTAGCATTTTGCATTTGTGTTGTGTCCAGAACTGAATGTGTTTTGTTGAATAGTTTTTGGCGCGGTATTAACAATTACGCATTTGCAAGGGGCAAACTGAGAGAACAGAAGCTGCTGGGTGGCCCAACGTTTTCCCATCTGCCTTTATGCTTTCAGAAAATATCTAAATCATTTATCCTAAATCAGTTCATATATTCTACATTAATCCAAAAAGCACGAGGAACAATGCCACTGGCTTTCTGTTGAAACATTTGTTGGATCTCATTGACATCAGCACTATATATTTGCAACACACAAAGAGCACACAAAACCCAAGCAAAACCTCATCATTTAATAAAAGGCATCACAGTGTTGCACTCAGGAGGTCCAGAGTAGCATGATACAAATGTCCGTGTCCTCCTGACTTCAGTCAGTGTGCACTTCAGCAGCTTTGAGGCTAATAGTCCATCTCCCATGACATGTGCAGTATACAGACACTGTGTGTAAATGTGTACATACTGGGTCACTGAGAAGCAACAAAGTGCTGTGAGAGACAGCTGAGGACCAAAATAACAGACTGTAACCTCTCCTGATTTCACTCATGTTTCACTCTCATCAACTGTTTCCTTTGTTTGGGTCTTTACATTTTTTTTTTTAAAGTGTGCTGATATTGTGTGCATCACAAACACAAGCATCAAATCTCTACTTTTCAAACTCTTGAACGGGGCCATGTTTGGCTTGACAACCTGACAAAAATGTTGTTTTTAAAAAACAAAAAAACAAAAACTGTCAGTTATTTTTCTGCCAGTCGACTTCAGCTCAGGCTTCAATTTTTACCTTTTCATGGAGCTCGCCGTTGGTCCCTTCCACAGTCTCCCCATTACTGCTCAGCAGCTGCAGAGACACACAGAGAGAAAACAGAAAGTGTTTGATGAGTCGCAGTGAAACTCAGAGTTTGAAGAAAAAACATTTGTAACAAAGAGTCTGTTTTTTCTGCTCTTTTATAGATGGGTCTGTTAGAAGGACAGGCTGGAAATGTGCAGACTGTGAGACCATTATATGGATACTCTGAAGAAACACTGTGCTGATAGCTGTTTGAGAATTATAAATGTATTTATCGTGCACAAACAGAGACATGGCAAACTGGTCATTAGGCGTTATGGAAGGCTTTACAGAGAGCTGCCACAGAGACTTGGCCGATGTTTCCTCTCATCTAACTCCATCCTCTTCCCACGTTCTTCTAACTTTATCATCCAGAAAGTAACCCACTCAGCAGTGGACTGTTAAATGGGCTAGATAAGTACAAAAGCTAAAAAAAAACCTCAGAGAAAATAAGTAAAATTTTTAAAAGGGGGCATTTAAATTGACCGTAATAAGTAGCGACAGATGAAAAACAGCGATATGGAGCAGACTGTGGTCCCCAGTTTCCAGCAAAGACCAGTAAAAGAAGTTGAAGGTAGCGATTTACACCCACAGTCATCTGTTATTAATACAGTCCTGGATTTGAAACCTTCTGTTTTCTAAGTATAAAATATGAGTAAAGACACTTCTACATCCCCGGCACAACGCCATCGTATCTGCCTCCTTCAAACACGCAACATAACCTACAGCTGCTTCGACTCTGCGCTGCCAGTTATCCATCACAGAGCACTCATCAGCAGAGCCCGGCAACCTTCTTCTCATTACTGCAGCCAAAACCGCACAATGACCGCGTGAGCTCTCTTACCTTCAGCCAGCTGTTTTTACTCAACAGTTTCTGGGCAAAAGTCAGTCATGTTTTGGAGATTTGATGCTCTAAAAGGGACACAACTCATGTGCATGGGAAAAGTATGTGAGGATAATGTGGGCTAGGTGATTAATTTGCGGTTTGTGTGAGTCCAGCATAATGTCTGTGCATGCAGATATGCAGTGTAAACAAAGTATCTCCCAAAAACTGCATTAGCCATGCAGCTGCCACTGTTTCAGACTCTTCCTGCTCCTCGTGTGAACTCTAAAGAGGTTTGGGCAATCCAGGCTGTCACTGTTCCTCAGGTATGAAGCACCTGAAGCACCTACTTCATTTGGATTGTCTCAAAAACTTCCCCCACAAAAGCTCCTGTGGTATACAGGTGCGAGCTGAAGTACAGATGAGCCTGGCAGCTGATTTACGTGCTGTTACCTCCGACCGGGCTTGTTCACCTCTGTCTACGGACTGGATTCATCTATGTGAAGCGTCTGTAAAACTTGGCAGTGAAATCACTACATAAAAAGTGTGTCTCCTCCTCCCCCAGACCTCCTCTGTTCCCCCTGACAGCCCTTTTATTCCTGCAGAATGTATGCATCTATGAAGTCTTAGGTCAGCCTGCAGTAATGTTGCTGTGGGATGTGGCAAAGAACCAACGGATAGCCAAAATAAATTTGTTTGTCTATACATATACTGCTCAAAAAATTTAAAGGAACACTTTGAAATCTCAGATCTCAATACCACAAAAATAATAGGTGTTCCATTGGATTTAGGTCAGGTGAGTGTGGGGGTCAGTCAAGCCAACAGTCAGAAAAGATGAGGTGAGAACATCAAAGCAGCTGATTCGATGCCACCACAGATCCGACTGAGTTTCTTTGGTCGTTCATAGTTCATCCTTCTTGTGAGTACCAAATAAACATTTTTGTGTTTCTGGAGATGTTTCAAATAAGTTGAAGCAGCCACAAAACTCTGGTATTAATGGCTCAGCCTTACACCTCCCCATATCTCAGACTGTTGACCTTGACATATACTGTTGCTATGAGATGAGAGTGAAAGTGAAACTGACTGAAGTCCAGTTCTCAAAACGGTTTCACATATATGTCCAAACAGAACTGCTGTGAGAGGGAATTATTGTGAAGGGGTGAGCGAGGCAGTGGTGTGAAGGTGCACCTGCCCCACTAAAGGTGAAGCATCATTAACTCCAGGGTTGTGTGCTCTGTGTTACATTCAGGAGTCCCACGGTTCAGTTCTTCGGTGTTTGTTGTGAGCTGCCAATGCTTAGCTAGCAGATAGCGGTTAGTAAGTACACTAAACCAGGTTTTGCTTACTTGTCTGACACATAATAATAATAATCACACAAGATGCAGTGTGTGGATGATTTACTGTCAGTGAAAGGCCTTTAGCAGAGGAATAAATACTGTAACGTTACTTTCGCTGTAAATAAATAAATAAATCGATATTTATAATTTCTAATGGGTAATACGCAGAGAGTATTTTGCAGTTTCTAACACTTGGTCCGCAGGTATTTATAAACCACACACATGCCATCTTGGCCAGTCACCTCTCAGCTTGAGACCGCAGAATAACATCCTGGTGGGGCTGTTGCCATAGCAGCACTCATGTCCTTCCAACCCCCTTCATCCCCTCCATGAATTTAAGCTTCTGTGTGTGTTGCAGCGTGTTTTTTCAGTATACCGCACATGAAAGAGCCACAACAGAGAGACCGGAAAATGCACTTCATGAGAACATGAAGACTGAACGCTACAGCGGTGTTCTTGCTGGATTACTGCTGTGTTCTGTGTGAAATACCTGATTTAAAAAAGTGTGACGCAGTCAAAGGACTTAATGGCATTAAGCCTGAAAAAGACAAACACGTCTGGTCATTGCTATGTAGACACAGGGCTGACTATAAGGAGTCCAAACAAAAGGAATCCAGTCAAGCGTAACAGAGTTGTACATCATCATGTCCCTGGAACGTCTTACTACTTTATTTTCTAAAAATTACTTTAACTGCAGCCCTGATTAAGATAAGGAGAAGAGGGAGGATGGATGGATGGATGGATGACTACTTTAAATGTGGTTGCCAGTAATGGAGGGTGAATACTAATTGGCGCATACCTTGTCTCTGAGGCTGAGTACCTCCCCCTCCAGGTAGCGGTGCTCTTCTCTTGCCTGCTCCAGCTCAGTTTCCTTGCTCGATAGCTTCTCTTGTAGGTTCAGAAGTTGCTGGAAGACAATCACAGATACACATTTAACTTAACAATATCAATTTAATAATCACAGGTACCTCCCAGGTACCTCTAAATAACAAGATTTGACACCGCAATATATATTGGGGCTGATATATATTGCGGTGTCAAATCTTGTTATTTAGAGGTACCGGGGAAGTCATCAAATGTCATCTTTATGGGAGAAAAAGTTAATGGAAAACTTTAAGTTCAAGGGGTCTGAGTGCCTACAAAGCACCTGGCTCTCACATTTCCAACTGAGTTGCAGCTGTGCAGCTCAAAATGCAGTGGTCAAACATAAGGCCCAGGGGCCAGAATCACCCTGTTAAAGAATAGACGCTGCTGGAAAATGTAATGGAAACCATCAATTTTGGACTTTTAAATATATTTCACATTTTTCTACTGTCTACTGTAGAGGCTGTGTCCACAGTAAAAAAAATAAAAAGTGATTATTGAATTTTCTGTTGCATAATTGCAGTGCAGTCTGGCCAATGAGGTACCAGAGTGCTTTCTGTAGTTTTTTACATTTATGTCTTACAGTTTAAGCCCAAAGCTGACAGACGCCTTTCATTTACCACAGCAGGATCTCTTTATCGTGTAGAAATATTGAGACATACTGTTGAAATTGCACTGCTTGTTTTTACATCAATATATCTCAGGGATAAAAATGTGCAGTTAAAGTTCTTTACACTGACAGAGGGGGGAGTTTTACTGGTCAAAGTTCGCTTTATGTGGCCCCCAGTGAAAAATGAATTGACATCCCTGCTATAGAGTAAATTTCTGGCTTCTGTGAGACGACTGCTGTTGTTATTTGGCGCCATGTAAATAAACCTGAAAACTAAAACTGGCATCAGGACATATTTAGATGTGCAGTCTTACTGCAGGAGGAACTGTTTTGTGACTTTACTGTTCACAGCTCTGCATTTCCAGGATGACTTCAGAGAGTTTCAGGTTAACATTAGCTTGTTTTTCAGTTGCTGAAGGTTTGCTGGTTAAAGTCATTAATTTAAACACGGAGGAAAAAGGAAATGATGTTTACTTCTACTAAATAAAAGAAAGCCAAGATGCCAAGAAGCTGTAGGACGTCTTGCTTCATGTCTTAGAAGATGAGAAAACAGAACTTTGACTTGAGGCTGCAGCTGTCAGTGAGTGTTGTGAGAGGTTTTTATCTGCCTGCTCCCTTTACCTACACTCAACACTTTGTCATCTTATTATTCTCCTAGTGCTGAAGCCACTTTTATTCTGATTTTAGTCTTTTTATCACAATAAGATGTTTATTATTTAAATGAACTGACTGTTTCATTCATCGTGTACGCGTTCATATTTTTTGCATGATGCGATGTCATCTTAACGCTGTGATGAAGTATATGAAGCAAAGCACTTATTTTGTTTGTCACAGCTGATCATCTGCACTGAGGGGGAATAAAAAGAAACAACGCTGCATGACAAATGAGAAGCGATAGCAGTGTGAGTTTCCCCTCACACTGCTAAGAAGTCAAGTAAGCAGCACATTTACAATGAGCCAGCAGGGCAGTGTGTGCGTGTGTGTCTATATGATGGTGGTTGTCTCCAGTGTGCCTCATTTTATCAGTGCTGTCAGTTTAGATTGAGAAAGACAGGAAGTCAAGTTAAATCAGGCTAACTCGTGGCAAACGAGCTGCGTGCTCCGACACAGCTTACTGTGCTCCATGAAAAAAGTAAAGTGAGGAATAGTGGGAGAACTCAGCAAAGGAAAACACTGTTTGGTTGTTAGTTTTTCTGTGTTTGCTTGTGTATGCTACGCTTCCTGCTCTGCTAAACCAGGGGTGTTGAACTCCAGGCCTCGAAAGCCGGTATCCTGCAGGTTTTCGATATCACCCGGGGTCAACACACCTGAATCACATGATTAGCTCATTACAGGCCTCTGGAGAACTTCAAGACATGCTGAGAAGGTAATCTGACATTTAAATCAGCTGTGATGGATCACAGCTTGGAGTTCGACACCTTCGTCCAGCCTCTCTTGTTCTCTCCTGTTGTCCGATGCTTTGGATGGTTGGTCAAGCTTCACTACCATCTAGTCCTTGCACTGTTATACCTATCTGTGTTAAGATTCCTCTGAAATCTTAATCAACCCCCCCCAAAAAAACCCAAAACAAAACAAATTCCTATACCCGTTTATTGAATCAATCATTCTTTTAGCAAAACCTGTCATGATTTATTTACTGTTTTTATAAAACACTAAACATGTTTTCAATGTTGATGCTTAACAGTAATCACAGTTGGCAGAAGTTAAACATGGTTAGAGAGCAGATGTAACTCATAATTGTTTGCACTTGTTGGATAATGATGTGATTGTATGCTGGTTCAGAGTGTACAGCCAGGAAGGGCTGATGTGGATGGAAACAATGTGAGAGGCAGAGGAGGACGACTGCACATAAAAGGTGTTGGAAGAGAAGGCAAAGGAGGAGGTGGAAGGGGACGAGCAGGAGCAAACATTTCAGATGAAATTTGAGGAACTGAATCAAGGATTTTTTTTTAACTACTTGCAATTTCTTTGGAATTTGAAAGCAATCACACGAGGGAGGTTAATGAGTTAAATTTCAACACTGTTTTTAAACTGTTTTGATGGAGAAGTTAACAAATGTTAAGTAGTTTTATGAGCTGTAAAGGCTGCTCGTGCGATCTGAACACAGTTTGGTTGCGAACACAGAAAAAGCTTTGATGTGCATATTTGCAGCATTTTGGGATTATAGCTTGAAAACTGGGCTTTGAGAAACATGTGGAAAGTTTTCAGCAAATGTGTCGTAGCAATGATGAAAAACTGTGAGAGAGCCCTAGAGAGACTATTAAATATCCTAAATAGCTTAATAAGACGCTAAAAAATTAGATAGAAAGTTAGCCGCAATCATTCACTTTATCTTAAAGGAAAGATTTTAGGGCCTATCCCAGCTGTCATACGCTGACTTTGGACTCTGGGAGAAAGCCAGAGTACCTGGACAAAACCCAGACAGGCACGGGAAGAGCAGACTCAAACCCGGGACCGCCGCACTACTGTGGTTTCTCCCAAAAGCAGAATTCAAGTAAAATATAATCTAAAATCTGTATTTGCCGATTATCAAGAGGATCTGTAACCTGTAACTGCTCAAATTAAGAAAAGCAGTTTTTGTTAGTAAGAAAATAAATTGTTTACCTGCCTAACGAATAGTTTCCTTCTTTTTTCTTAAAAAATACAAATAGAGAGCATCTGCCCCAGAGGCCTGTTTTAGATGGTTGCTGTGGAACATTTAATGAAGAATCTGCAGAAGCAGCAGCGAGAGTAACACAAACTGTTGTCTTCAGTTCTGCTGCATCAAAATTCATTGTACAGAAAATTTTAGAACACGTTCAGCAGCACCAGTGTTCATTTCTTCATTATTATAGGCCATTATTCATTCACTAATTTACAGTATTGATTAAGCAGAAGTGAAATTGGGAATCACGCTGACCTGGTGACGGTAACAAGAAATCTTACTGTAATATATTCTTCCGACTGTTATTGAACCATTATGGCCAACACTGTTTACTTTGTCCTCGTGGTTGTGGAGGTCTTAATGATTGAACACGGGGATGCTCCTCTGTTTGTTTTTATAAACAGCCTAGGGTTTAAGCAGCAAATACATTTTAATGTTTTCAATTTAGAGCAAACGTCTTCCAATAGAAGGCATAAAAAAGATATTTAAAAGCAAAGCTGAACAGCCATAAATGGCAGATTACATATTATTGCAATAATTTTCATGAAAGGTGTGACTCAAAGTTATGTAAAGTTTGACTATCAGCAGAGATCAGAGGGATTTCCTAAGCTAAAAGTACGATTAAAAGGATTATAGTCACTTCTGAGAACCATGAAAATGTGATGTGCAGGCAGACAAGCAAACCTGCTGCATGCTGTGCATGCTCTGCTGCAGCAGCTGGATCTGAGCCTCTGGGCTGTGAGGGTGTGTGTGCGAGTGATCGTCTTCTGGGCGGCTGGCTCTGCTCTGCTCCTTCCTCAGGAGCTCCACCTCGTTCCTGTAGGCGTCCAGCTGCCAGCGCAGGGAGTCGTTCTCCTCCTTCAGAGAGGCCTGAGTCTGATCACACACTCCTGCGGGAGGAGAGAGGGAAGAAAGGCGGGATCCGGAAAGGTGAGGGAGGAAAGGGAGGAGATGAGAGTAGGAAAATAAGAAACAAGTGGATGAGAAAGACAAAAAGGAGAGAGAAAGAAACAATGGAAAGGGAAGAGAGAGGCCTTGTGTTGTTAAAAAAAAGAAGAAGAAAGGAACATGAGCATCTCATTCAGGGTCCACATCAGTGATGTCCCCACAACTTTATCCTGCTTTGGTTTTTTTTATAATTGAAGGGTTATATGAACAGCAGATTTAATGCTGCACAGGCTGCAAAGTCTCTTGTCAGAAATTTCCTTTTAAAGGCTGGTTTAAATAAAAACTGCCTTTACACGTGTTCGAGTAAACCCAGCTTGAGCTATTCTGTTTGCTGCAGGAGTTTGTGACTTTTTATTGGTTAAACTGCCACACAAATAAACCAGCTTGTCTAAATCACATAAACTCAAAGATCCTGAGGAGCTCTTGCGAGCAGAGCACCAAATCGGGGGACCAGTGAAAAAAAAGGTGTTTCTAGAATCTGGACGTCTCAAAGACAGAAATAATCTCAGAAAAAAACAATTTTACCTTCAGTGTTCACACTTTTGCGTGTGGCTGAGACAAAGCAAAGCACAAACAGGAGTGACAGAGAATCAGGGGAAAAAATTGGCACGTTTTCATCATCCATCATCATCTCTAGCTGGAGGCCTCAAATTCACACCTTTAGTCATTTAATGTGTGATTTGAAAGGTGATATTATTACCATTTTCCTCAGTGCGCATCTTCTTGCAAGGACTTTCATCCGACTCGTCATCCGACATCTCCATCTCCTCTTCTCGTCTGATGCCCATGATCTCTTCGCTGTGGGCGTTCCTCAGCTCCTAAAACATTACAGCCAGCAGAGACACAGAGCAACAGCGGTCCTCAGCTCACTCGTGAAGAAATGGGATGTCCTGTTAGCGATTACATCACACGCATGCTGTTACAAGTGTCGTATTTGTAACAAGTTGGGGCAGAAAGGTTGTGTTTGCGGTCTAAAAGGTTTCCAAACATTCTTAGAAGTTATCTGTGTCAACTCAATGCATTCTTCTCTGTTCCATGGTTACAGTTCTATGCATCTGCCTTTCACCCACAGATGTACAAACAGATTGCTTTGATGCTAAAGAAAACTTTAAAAACTGACTTTAAAACAAACTCGCAGCCACCTCTGAAGTTATAAGAAGCTTCTTTTATGCACTGAAACACTTCCACACTTTGAGCTGGTGTAGTTTGATGCACTTCCTTTGGGCTTTAAATTCACAATAAAACCAGGATAAAAAAACAAACCACCCAATAAAGACATACTCTAATAAATAAGAGTGTGTGTGCTTTTCCTATTTTAAGTGTGAGGCTATGTCTAGTGTTCTCGATGTGTAGCTCACTCAGTCACTCATGTATCCTGTTGTTTTATTGGTTCTAAGCCTCTGAGTTTAACATGCTTTTTACAGCACAGAACAGCCATTGTCAATTATACCACTTTGTTTTATATTATTTTATACTTTAATTATTACAACAGTATGTTGTTGTTAACCGGCAATAATACAAATGAATGTCATTCAATAACAACTGTGGGTGAATTTAATCTGTGGCTCTCTTCCCCAGCATGTCTTTGTCCTGTCCTCCTCCCCTCACCCCCAACCAGGCAGATGGTTGCCCCTCCCCCTCTAGCAGATCCAGGGTCTGCTGGAGGGGGAGGGGAGGCCATATATCCTGTTTCCTTCTTAAAAGGGAGTTTCTCCTTCCCACTGTCGCCAAAACGCTTGCTCAAAAGGGGTCATTTGGTTGTTGGGGTTTCCTTCTCTGTATTATTGTAGGGTCTTTACTATATTAAGTGCCTTGAATTGATTTGATTTGAATTGAATTTTTTACCACAAAGCGTCCATTCAGATATCGGAAAGGGTTAAAGTTGGATTTTGGCTGCACTGATGCGTGGCACCGTGGTGGCTACATCCAGTTTATGGTGGCAACTCAGCCGTCACATTGTTGCAATAAAAACATTTTGCGGCCTACCTCCCAGCTCCATTGTCATCATTCCCATTGCTTTCATGAACTAATCATTCATCAAGCGAAGCACATACGCACGAGATGTAATAGACTGAGAGCCTTTTGCCTGCGTGTGGTATTATCTTTCACTTCTGCAGAAGTTGCCTGTGAATCAGATCTCTGCCATTTTCGCCCATATTCATTAGCTTTTCATTTGTGGGCTGTGATTTCACAGACCATTTCCTAACAGAATAATATCCATCTCCACTGAGGAAAAATGTGCAGCCTGCCTCCGCACAGTTAGCAGAGACACTCCTGTTGTTGTAGAAATATGGATTCATATAGACTTACCATGAACGGTAGCCATTAAAGGAAGATCTCACAAGGGGACTGAATCTTACTATAGATGAATGAGAGCCTGTGGAATTCAATACCTCTTACCCAGAATATTAACTGTGGTGACACCAATGCCTCAGTCAAGACCCTTGTGTGTCATACAGTTTTCGCTTTGGCTACCCAAAATATAAAATGCCAAAATAAAGACAAATGAAAGAATACAAACGTGCTAAGAGGATGCCTTTCATTATTCGCTTTTCAACCTGGACCAAATCACAGCATCCATCCATCCATCCATCCATCTGCCTATCCAGCCATCCACCCGCCTATTCATCCATCCATCCATGCATCCATCCGTACATCCATCCATCCGCCTATTCATCCATCCATCCATCTTCCGTTTACCAAGTTCAGGGTAGCGGGGGACTGGAGCCTAACCTAGCTCTCACAGGGTGAGACTGGTTCAATTAGTGTTGTTTAATAAAGACAAGATGATGTAAATAAAATATCTCTAGTTCACGCTCAAATGAAAAGACAAAACAAACAAACAAAAAAGTATAATAATAATGATAATAATGATAATGGATTGGATTTATATAGCGCTTTTCAAGGCACCCAAAGCGCTTTACAATGCCACTATTCATTCACTCTCACATTCACACACTGGTGGAGGCAAGCTACGATTTTAGCCACAGCTGCCCTGGGGCAGACTGACAGAAGCGAGGCTGCCATATCGCGCCATCGGCCCCTCTGGCCAACACCAGTAGACGGTAGGGTAAAGTGTCTTGCCCAAGGACACAACGACCAGGACAGAGAGCCCGGGGATCGAACCGGCGACCTTCCGGTTACAGATACGCGTCCCAACCCCCTGAGCCACGGTCGGGGGTCGCCCCAAATCTGTAATAGAAGTATAATTTTTTTTTCTGCTTTATGTAGCAATGCCAGCAAAGTTTCCATATGACTGCACAAGGATCTGAAGTGTTCATCAAACCAGTGGAGTGAAAGCTTCCGACAGTGAAGTGCTTTTTATCCTTTAGGTCATTTATTGGACTTTGCTTTGTTTTCAGCTCCTTTTGGTGTTAGTCTTAGGTTTTATTTTAGGTCTCAAAAATAAAATATTGGCAAAGGCACTGGCACTTACATGGCACCTGTCTATTCAATTTAAGTACTACAATTCACCCACTCACACACATTCATACAGTGCTTTTATCTCTATCTAAGCACATGTGCATAACATTCACACGTGCTCACTTGCCGATGGATGCATCAGGGGAAACTCAGGGTTCAATATCTTGCACAGGGATACTTTGACAGATGGACAAGAGGAGCCAGGGATCCACCCACCAACCTTCTGATAGGTAGACGACCCACTCTAACACCTGAATGTGCAATCTCAAAGCTTGGAAATGCTTAGAAATCATCATTTGAAATTGTGTGCTGGAGCCAAAACACAAAAACTAACAAAAAACACGTACTCCCTTTGACCCTTTGTGATTTGAAATAAAATACACAAATTCAAGTACATTTCACTTTTATCCTTCCTTCGATCACTTTCCATTTCTGCATTCTAAGTTTGTGTATTCAACCCCCTCACCCCCACAGAACAACAAACCCACAACCTCCACGTGCGCCAACAGGCTGCTCCACGTCTGAATCCTCTGTGGTGCTGCCGCGTGAACGGGTCTTCCCTCTTTCGCGTGCAGCATTCTCGTCTTCGTACTTGTTTTCTAGATTCGACTTGGGATAAATAATTGATTTGAGACTTAACCCTGGAAAGCAGTGTTGCCATAGCAGCGTCTCACACTTTCGAGGAGGCATCAGATCTTTGCTTTACATTGGGGCTGCAGGGATAAAGGGAGGCCCGGGCGATCAGAGGCTGCTGTCTGCCCGTCTGTCTGTCTGTGAGGGCGAAGCATCCAGCAAAACAACAACCCAGACACTGAATACAACAAATCCTACGGGACTGTGTGTCAATCAGCCAGTTCTCTCCTGGGGACTCAAAAATGACAGCAGAGAAGAAAGCAGTGAGCCAGGGTGGGAGGAGAAAACAGAAAAAAACAAACAAAGGTATACCAACCTCACACTGCTTGCGCCAAATGTCTATGTTCTTGCGCTGTGCTTTTGAGAAATGGTCCCATGCCTTTTGCCGGGTGGCAGCGGTGAAAACGGCGGTGATCTGCTCGACTTTGGGGTGAACGGGGAGGAGGAAGAGGAAGAGGAGGGAGGGTCAAGACAAAACAAGCCGTTTATGTAGCGTTGTAGCACTGACTGAGGCTCGTACAGCAGACAGAGGAGAGACCGTGGACATGCACCGACCACAAGCGGCAGGCCACGAAGGTCTTTCGTGTTGAAGGAACAGTTTACTCCAAAACTGAAGTCTGTGACATCATTTGCTCAAGTCAACCTCCAGGAAGGTTTACGCTCTATTTGTCTTTATCAAATGATTTTTTTTTTCCTCTTGGTTGTTTCATATCAGTCCAAACAGCTTCCATAGATGTTCCTCACTGCTATCAAGGGCTCAGATGAAATGCTACCATATTTCAGAAAGCAATAAGAAAAACTAATCAAAATCAGCCACAATTGCCTTCATGCAAAATCTCAAATATTACTTTACTGGATTCCAATTTATACTTTTGAACTCCTGACTCAGTGAGCAGATGATGACAGGACGACTGTACTTGGAGTAAAGTGCTCCTTTAAAGAAAGACTTTTATCTGAAGAATAAATAGGAATAAATTTCAAAATAAATTTAAAAAAAACATTCAAGTCTTATTATTACATGACTTTGGAGTAAATTAACAGGGAGTTATGCTTAAAGATGAAGACTGAATAGAAATCTTCTTTGCCATGAGAAAGATGAAAAACAAAATGCTCTAAATGCACTGAATTTTTATCCTCCACCTTCATGTAAGAGATTGTTGGAAACAAGAACTCGGGCATGCTAATTAAACTAAAGTGAATAACACTGATTATTTCAGTACAGTGTTCTGCTGTTACCTTGAAACATAACATCTGCTATTGTTGCGGACCGACCAGTCCAACCACAGCAATTGCCCTCCCAAATGTCAGCTGCCTTTCCCGGCAGGACAATGTGCCAAGGAAGGAATACTTTGAGATTTTCACAACCTGGATTGGGACCTTGAGAGAAATTGCTCCAGATTCACTGGAGCTAGCCTGCTTCATGGAGGTCCTTCTCTAAAACAAGCAGAACACAAAGGTTCAGCTGCTGTAATCCTGTGCGAGCCACAGCGGGATCCCCCTGAGGTTCTGTATCACAGCCCTGATGAGTCTGAGCTGTTTTGGTGATGTGATGGGGACCTACGTAGCGTTAGGCAGGTGGCTTTAATCTTCTATCCTGGGCCAAGCAGCATGAGTCTTGTACAGCTTTCCAAATAAACCTCTTTTTTTTTTAAAAAGGAAAAAAAAAGGAAAAATCTGGAGTGCACTTGAGCTTTATGAAAAAGTGTTTTTTTTTTTTTTAAGATTCTACTCAGTGAACAACAGCGCTGAGTATAAAGACTGCAAACCACACAAACAATCCAAGGCACTCTGAGGCTTGCGATATAATGGTTAAATATTAACCCTCTCAAGGCAGGCGTTGCAGATTTGCAACAGTTAAAACCTGATTAACCCACATACATATTTTATGAGTTTTTTTTACTCAGAAGTACCACTGCAGGACTTTGAGCCTGAGAGGGTTAAACGGTTCTCATCATCATACCTCAAGTCTCAGAGTGCCTTTGCTTTTTTTACCTATTGTTTGCAAACACATTTTTACATGAGTGATTTCAAAAGCTTGTCTTAGTCTGACGGAACAGCCTGGAATGGCTGTTAAGGGTGACCACATAGAGATCTAAATCCAAGGCAACTGGCTGGATGCAAAACACAAGACCAGATGGAAAATGCATGTGTCTGCTAAAAGGCGTGATCCCTTGCAGCGCCTATCAACACTGGCGTCCTGCAGACTTTGTTTCACTTTCAGCTGAAGAAAAGTGTCTGACATGTGATGCTTTCCACATGATATAAAAAAGCTACCATGCATGTGTCCCACTGGCAACAAACACCGGCTCCTGGCCACATTCCTGGAGCCACTATGGGCCGAAATTACTGTCATGGCTGAGAGAACAAGTTACGATTGTGTTGGATAATTAACCCCAGTTGATGTCTCCGAATCATGCTTCAGTCAACTTGCAGAGCAATTAGCCACAACTGGAGTCTTTGTCATCCAGCTGTAGTGCTGGTCAATAAACATCAAGCAGTGTTTATCTTCTCTGTGCCATTTGATTCATGGGAAGCTATCCATATCTTCACACACGTGCACAAGCTAATATGCAATTTTCAGGGCTGTCTGTAAAGCTGCGGGAGACTCTTAGACTGGCAGCTGGAGAATGTTTTGCATGAGTCCTTGTTTCCTTGAATCTCGGAGGTGGTGAGGAAATATGTATTAGCACAGCTTTTACAGACAAATGCATGTCAAATAGGAAAAGCTGAACCAGAACCATCCTCTAAAAGTTTAAAAGAATTCATCTAAAATGTGTGTCATGTGATGAGCAGGTCTCTCTCCTGGCCAGTGCTCTGTACTTACATCTCATCACCTGCAGCTTCACTTCCCACTGGACTGACAAAGGCAACATTTATCCAGAATGGACTGTGAATTTTAGACTCCATCAGAAATGTAGACATGTCACATGGGATATTACATGTTTAATGTTAAGGAGAAGCTATAATGGAATCAATCTGTGTGCAAGAAATTACTGGATGATTGGGGAGGATTGTCTATAACTTTGTAACATCCAATCAGAAGAGACACACTTCCATTCTGCATGAATATGCTGCCTTGCATTTTTTCTGTTGCTCTGACATTTGATTTGTGGCCAAACACTTCCAGTAACGACATAACTTTACTTTGCCAAACCTGAATGAACCTATACCAATGTCAGATTTAGCCTTTTCACATATCACAGAAGAACTACTGACAAAAAGACAAAAAGAGTAAAACTGTCCATTTTCTCACTCACCTTATTTACAAATGAACACGAACCGTGAAACGACGCCAAATATGCCTTTTTCTGAACGTAACATCGGATTAAATGTGCATTAAGTGATATTTTTGACCCTTTCAGCTCCTAGTTTTGGTTCTGTGCATACTTCTTGCTGCTCATGTGAAATATATTACCTTTGCACACTTTATTTCACATACTTCTCTCATTGGCGATGTTTAGATCGTATCTGAGTGTCAGAAATCTTAAAAGCATTACGTATTAGCAGATGATCAGCCTTAGCTATTATTAAAATAGGTTTCAATTAACACATAAGTTCACTTGGTTAACTGTTTCAAGTTAACTCCTTCTAGGAGATAGGATTCTAGGAATTAGAAGGTAAAGTTACAGTTATGTATGTTACCTGGTAACAGTGGAGGAGTTAAGGGTTGTGTTATACACATACTTTCCTTGGGAGGTGGTGGAGACCAAAACTGAGATAAAACTAGAGCAAATGTACGACATCAGGTGGACATGGATTCCTTTCCATTTCAGTGGTTGTGTCTGTTGCTGCTGGACACAACAAGTGATTATCGTGTTTTTGTAAATACACTGCCTTCCAGTGGTCAAAATTCACCTAATGCAGCTTTAATTGCAGACTTAGCTAAGTGTCAGTGAATGGGTGCTATTTAACCAGTGCTGTTTCAGAGTAGCATTAGCATGCAGTAACAGAGCAGCTGTGGTTATCACTCAGTGTGTGTTGGCATTTTTTGAAGGCAGCCTGTGAAAAGGTCAGGGCGCACTCATGCTACTGACTCTGAAACCTCTGTGCGACTGACCTAATCACCACTGCACAGCGCGCCGAAGATAATGAAGCTGATGGTGAGAGAGATCGGGGAGTGTTGTCATGGAGACTGGGCCGAGATGCTCACAGAGTAAATGACTTGCATCAAGACGGGCTTTGAAATGGATGTGGTGAAAATGGCTCCATAGTCTGCACCACCGTAATCTGCCACTGCACCACACCCTGCAGCAGTGTGACAGACTGCAATCAGAAGTAAGCTCACACTGACGGCACACGTGGTGGCACGAGGTCAAAAGTGGATATCTATTAACTGGTTTTCACCTAAAAAAGTAGTACTGTTCAGTCTCAGGTGCTTAATATACAGCACTTTAGCCAAAGTCTTATGTGTTTAAACATCCTACATGAATCGATTGACTTAACTGATTAAACTGAAGGTGCAGTTGATTGATGGCTGTTATCCAATCATATGCTTGTCTCTAGTTCATGGTTCTCTTAAAACTGGTGAAACAGAATGAAACTTGCTACCTGCAGTGTGAAGAGAAAACCACTGGTTGAACTTACCTGTACAGCTTACACTTACAACGGCAAAAACTTCTCACGTGAGACGTCCTTTGTCTGGAAGTTTTTTCAGTACGTCTTTAAGTGTGTAAAATATGAAAGCGTCCTTACACTGATTTAATATAGCCAGCAGGGCATTCTTGAAGGCCTCTTTGGCACGCTCCAACTCCTCTTCATGCTGAGCTTTCTCACTCATCAGTCGTCTAACGTGGCTGTTGGCCGACTGGATCATAGAGTAGAAGTGATTGGCGGTGCGGCGGTTGACTTCGCCTCTGTCGATCCAGGTGAACAGAATGGCTATGGCCTCACTGAACTTATGATCATCTGTGGAAACAAGTTGAAAAAGGTAAGAAAGAGAGGTATGGCAGTTCTTTTTTTTCAATACCAACACCAGTGATACTTTTAAAAATGAACTGGACTGTGCTTATAAAGTGCATTTCAAACCGTACTGATTCAAAATGACTATAAGTCACATTTAAACATCAAGTATATTCATACAGTGCTATATTTTATACACTCTACCTCACATGCTTGGACAATTTGGAATAACAACTTAACCTAACAAGCATTTCTTTGGACTCGGGGAAGAAGCTGAAGTGCCCAAACCAAGGGAAGAACATGGAAACTTCACACAGGACGCCTCCCTCTAACCAGGAGATTCAAATCTTTGCTTGTGAGGCAACTGTGCTCACCAGTGCACCACTGTGCTGCACAAGTGCAGCTTTCACATTATGACAAAATGTTTGTAAGTAAGTAAAAGTAAGTAAAATTTTATTTATATAGCACCTTTCAAGATAAAAATCACAAAGTGCTTCACAGGAGCTAAAACCTAAAAATAAAAATTCAACCAAAAGATAGTTTAAAAAGAGTTTTTAGCTGTTTTTTAAAAGCAACCACGGAGTCCACAGATCTCAGGCTCAAAGGGAGAGAGTTCCACAATCTGGGGGCCACAGTTATAAATGCTTTGTCGCCTTTTGTTTTCAGCCTCGTGTGTTGGACAGCAAGCAAGCCCTGGTCACATGACCTCAGGCACCTGCTGGGAATGTATGGATGTAAAAGTTCACTTATATATGTTAGTGTTTGTCTATGCAGAGCCCTGAAAGTCAAGGTCAAAACCTTAAAGTGGATTCTGAATTTAACAGGGAGCCAGTGCAGCTGAATCAGCAGGGGTGTGACATGGGAAAACTTGGAGGACTTGGTCAGAAGCTTTGCAGCAGCGTTCTGAACAACTTGCAGATGCTCCAAAGAGGCTTTACATAAACAAGTAAACAAAGAATTACAATAATCCAGACGAGATGAAACAAATGCATGAATGACAATTTCTAATTCGGAGCGCGATACAATGGGACTCAGCTTAGCAATGTTTCTCAAGTGATAAAAACAGGAGCGAACCAGAGATTTTACATGAGCATCCAAAGTCAGAGCTGCGTCAATAGTAACACCAAGGCTCCTGATAGACGGTTTGGCAAATGTAGCAAGTGGACCCAAGTTTTCCATAACACTAGGTACAACATTTTTAGGAGCACAAAGACTTCAGTCTTCTCCTCATTTAGTTGAAGAAAGTTTCCAGCCATCCAACCTCTAATGGAGTCTATGCACTTATGCAAAATCTGTGGCTTGGAAACATCATGGGGCTTAAAGGAGATATATAACTGAATATCATCTGCATAGCAGTGATACGAAATGTCCTTAAAAGTGCTCAATAAGTGTTGAAGAGGAAGTAAATACAGCAAGAACAATAAAGGCCCCAAAACTGAACCTTGTGGCACACCATAGGCAAGAAAAGTAGAAGAGGAACTGTACTTAGAGGTAGCCACAGAAAAGGATCGTTCATGCAAATAGGATTCAAACCAGTCCAAAGCAGCCCCTGATATACCCACCCAGTGTCTCAGCCTATGTAGCAGAATATGATGGTCCACAGTATCAAAGGCGGAGGTCTGTATCTGTATCTTACTGATAACTACTGTTTGTCTTATCTTCTTTAATCAGCTGTTATATGCAAGAAATTGATCTAAATCCCAACTATGACCTCAACGGCAGGGGTCCTTCAAGGTGAATAAAGCTGTGTTGTATAAGTACATTTCTCATTCATTTCCCCCATACATATTCAGTGTAGAGCGGAGTTGTAGCCCTGCACTTCAGATGGACATGCAAGTGTCCTGGAAGAATGAATGGTACAGAACTAAGGTATACTATTTCTTTCCATTGCTTTCAGCATCTTTCACGGTTCCCTGATAATTGCCTTGTTTTTAGATAGCTTGACCTCTGACCTTGAGGGTGAGGTCACAGAGATTTGAACTTGTATGAGATTTTTAGTAGATGCTCCTATGGTATCAATTTGAAACTCCTGCGCCAGTTCATTCTCGAGTTACTGCACTCACAAACTTGGGTGTTCACGTCGCCAGCCTGCCTGCCTGCCTACATAATGGGATGCTTCTGTAGTAGATATGTGGGGTAGTCGTGAGGTGCCACTCCTGAAACAAGAGCTGTGTCAAGACTCAGGCTCAACACTTTATCAGTCTCAACACAGACGCTCCAAGCACTTCCCTGTCCTCAATAGTCATATCCAAACTGCTTTTAATTCCTTGATGGCAAAGCCCAACTTGACAGCTCTAGGTGACGGCTGAGGGATATTCTCCTGAAGTCGAGAACTCCCGACCAAAGTCACTTTTGATAGACAGATGTTTTTTTACATTTTCATTTGAGAGAAAAAGCATTACAGCTGCTTTAAGATTTATACATTCACAATACTAAAATCTCTTTGGACTCCAAGTCTCTCCCCCAGCACGCCGTGTCTGGGTACATCACACCAAATGGTGACTGAAGAGTATGATGTGAAAGCCGTTTCATGGGACCTTTAACATTCACTCAGCCTAAATAAACAATGGAGCAGTTACTGGGGACTAAATTCCTCCTCTGGAGGCCTTCACCGTTCACGGGTCTGTGAGCCACGTCACAGCCGCTGAACACAAAATGCATTTTTGATTTTCAACTTTTTCAAGCACAACCTTAAGCAGCGCTCGGTCTCAGTCACACAAACTGCGGCGTCTCGGCAGGCTTCCGTCGAGTGCATTCGCTTCCATTTGAATAATAATTGAATGGTGCCACGGAGCCGCGGACGACGGCAGAAGAGAGTGAATTAGAGAGCATTTAATGAGCTCAATACCCAGTGCAACACAACCTGTAAGAAGACACTTTCCCCCACTCTGATAAAGCCCCATTCATACACAGCAGCAGATTACAGTCACATTACAGCGAGCACAATGAAGCGCTGCTGAACAGGGACGAGCGGGGGAATAATGGAAATTTATTTCCCCTGCTGTTTGAGGTGAAGAATGAATTGAAAAGGGTTATTCAGAGAGAAAACATGCTTGTTTATGTTAGGTATTAGAGGATGGATGGGAACACTACACTGAGGCTGAGGTTTGGGTTTTGTAGATAAACTGGAGATTCTGGAGCAAACAGAAGCAACATGCTGCTGGTTTTCCAGAGAGATAGAACAGAGCCACAGATAAACACAGAAAATGGCAGACATAGAAAAGGCAGAAAGGAATCCTGTTTAAAAAGTGCTATTATTTATTCTTAATATAATAAATCCCTGATCACTGTAAAGCTGATTTTGGAAGACAGAGTTTTGATGCTTCATTTGATAACAATGCACTTGCGACTGGACTGCTGCTATGTGTCTTCATATACCAAGTTTGCTTGAAAGGAACTAAATGTGAAAGCTTGTGATTCTTTTTCTTATGGGATTGCTGTTGTCACGCCTTAGTGATTAAAAGCTGGAGGAGGTGGCTGGGAAGCAGAGATAATCTGCTGGCATTTGATGATTTCATGTCTCAGAGACCATCCTTGTCATGTCACAACACTTACATATGACTTCAACAGATTAACTGATAGGATCGTGTTTGTTTGTGATTTACTAAAAGTTTCTAAAAGATCTGATTATTTTCTGTATAATGCTCTATATTTAAATCATTTCTGTTCCATATTTCAGCACCAACTCTAACCTATAAACATCATAAAAAACACAAAAGGCAGTTTGCACAGAGCTCTATCTGGAACTTCTCTCATTCGCTTTGCAAATATACAATGAAAACGTGGATGGATGAACAGATGGATGCAGTGTTAGATGTAAAAAAACAAAAACACCTTGATGGTACAGTCTTTTTTTAAAAACTTTTTATAATGTGTTAGTCCCCGCAGGGAAATTACTCCCCTGCATTTAACCCATTCACCCAGCGAAGCAGTGGGCAGCCACCAATGCAGCGCTCAGGGAGCAGCGTGTAGAGACGGTACCTTGCTCAGGGGTACCTCAGGGTAGCTGTTCAGTGGAGTCGAACCCCCAACCTTCCGATCACGGGGCAACCACTCTACCTACTGAGCTATCCCTGTCCCATAAAAGTAAAAAATAAAAAAGTAAAAAAAGTGTTAGATGTAAAGAACAAACAAACACCTTGATGGTACAGTCTGTTCTGTGAAGAAGAAAACTTCCAATGACAGGTCTGACATTGAGACTTACCTTTAATGACTATCTGAGATAGATGTAAAAATGGGTTCAGAACAGCAACTCAAACTTGGATCAATAAAGCAGATTTAGAAAGAACAGATATGTCTGTCTGTACCTTATAACACCGACTATGTGCATCAGTTTGAGTAATTCAAATCATCTGGATCTATTGTTGCACGAAGCAAGGACCATGAGGGTTTTTACCAGTTCCCATGGAAATAAGATATATTTGATTCCCACTGATGGTGGTAATGTGTTTCTCAGCAACACTTTATTGGCACAAAGGTCACAGTACGACATGAGGTGATGTTATTATTTCTTTTTGTGTGGGAGTTATTACAGTCAAGATTTTGACTTTCTTCTCTTTCATGCTTTATTTAAATGATGCCTGCAGTGGATCTGACCGCACATTAAAGACGGGTTTAGGTCGAAACACAGAAAATATAACAATAACACTAGATGCTAATGTTTAGTTTGCCTGCTCAATCTGAGACAACATGAAGGTCATCACAATGCATGAAGGCAATAACAGTAATAAGCAGTGCGCTGGATCTGAATGTGATTAAATTGCACTAAATTGCAAGTGATTCCAGCGCCGCTGTTTTTATAAACAGAGAACACTTACAACCTTTTACTGTAAATATGCAACACTTTCAATCACTGGAGACAAGAATTAGCCACAGCAGAGTGGAGGCAACACGGAGGAGGTGGAAGAGGACGAGGAGGAGAGTGACCTTCACAGCAAACACCCCTCATTGCTCACTTCTCACTTATCAAAACCACTGCCAACTCAGTCCCACACTTCATCCTCTCCCATCAATTCTCCTCACGTGCAGAAGGAGCAGGTGGGTGCAGGTTTGCAACAGTACAGAAAGAAAGGGAGTGGTCCGTGGTATTAATCCCATTACACAGTAGATAAATAGGGGCTTGAAAAACGTAACTCCTGTAGTAAAACTGGGCTGATTTTAAAAGGGAAGCATAACGAGGACTTTACCTTTCTTTCAAATGTCACCTGAATTATTCATTGTCACGATTCGTTCTTTTATGGAGCACATTTCTACTCAGGTTTAAAACAGCTTGGAAAAAATACTTGGTGTCAAGCATGGGAAACATCTGAGATCAAACCATGGATTGCTAAATTTTACTCAAACACAACATCTGAACTGCATTCTCACCACATTTTCTGTTAATATAACAATAAATATTATATATACGGATTGGTGCTGCAGCTGCAATGATGCAGACGCTATTCGGTACATTGTGGTGAAGAGAGAGCTGAGTCTGAAAGCGAAGCTCTCAATTTAGTGGTTGATCTACGTCCCTACCCTCACCTATGGCCAAGAGCTGTGGGTAATGACCGGGAGGAGCCCCCGGAGCAGACCCAGGACACGTTGGAGAGATTATCTCTCGGCTGGCCTGGGAATGTCTTGGTGTAGCCCGGAAAAGCTGGAGGAGGTGGCTGGGAAGAGGGGCATCTGGGCTTCTCTGCTTAGGTTGCTGCCCCTGTGACCCGACCCTGGATAAGCGTGATAAGACGGATGGATGGATGGATGGAAGGATATTATATATATATGGTCAGTAACCCTTCTCATTACATTGTACCACACTGGGTATGCACTCAGTGTGATTCATCAACACGCAGGGTTTGCCAGTTGAGGAAAGATAACAGAGGAAACTTCAGCATGTGTCAAAGGTTTTGGATTGTTGCTTTGGTTATTTCTTGTTTTATATAGTAATCTATCTTTCTGTTTGTTGCTGCTAGCTTTACTTCATCTTACCCACAATTTACCTACAGTCACACATTTTTATACTTGCATTTTACCTTTGTTCTTTGGTGTCACCTTCCCCCCCAATGACTTAGAAAAAACCCCCAAATTTTTTTCACTTGTAGCCACATGCTACAAGTGAAATGCCCACCAACTTCCTGTGAGAGTGGTAAGACCAGGAAAGCACATTTGCATTCATTGTAACCAGGTGTTGTGCACTGTATGTTTAAGCTAGTCCAGTTTTTTTTTTTTTATCAAGTAATGCTAACAGCATGGCTCAATCCAAGTATCTTTATGTCTGTGATAAATTTGGTGATCATCTGACTTCTACTCCAGTCACCAGTGCACACATAGACACACACACTTCATCTATGACAGCTGGGAGGATCCTGCGACTTTGAAATGGTCGGCAAAATGAACTGATGGATATCTTATTATACAACTTGGAAAAAAAGACAAATACTGCAGCATCACAGGTACTTTAGATCAGCGGTCCCCAACCCCCGGGCCTCGGACCGGTACCGGTCCGTGAGTCGTTTGGTACCGGGCCGCGAGAGTTGAGGCTCAGGTGTGAAATGTATGGTTCTCAGGGTTTTTATCAGTTTTCAGCGTTATTTTGTTATCGTTTTTATCGTTAACTCGGTTTTCCTGGGTCTTTTCACGTGTGTTATGAATAAACCTTCTTTTTTTGGTACCGGTACTAGTTTTATTTTGTTGTATTTATCCGCGACACCTTAAAGGCCGTCCATGAAAATAATGTCGGGCATAAACCGGTCCGTGGCGCAAAAAAGGTTGGAGACTGCTGCTTTAGATAATGTTAGCATCCAAAGTATGTTTGTTAAACATCAACATCAGTATTTAGCTCCAAGCTTCATATTGTGTTGCTGCTGCCATAAAAAAACAGCTTAGAGTCTGACAATTATAAGAGGTTGTGTTTTTTGCTGTACAAGAAGTCAGAGAAGTCATCTTCTTTCTTCCTTTCCAGAGGAAACACAGGGCCTAAAACGATGTATTTATGACTCGATTAAATCTGTAAACGAATTCCAGAATCCTACAATGGCTTACTTAATAATGCATATCTTACTGGATTATAGCTGCTAGAAGCATGAAAAGAAGAAATAAGCAGGAAGCCACTGAAGTTAATAAGAAAGGTAAAGACACATAAAAAAATTGCAACTGTTTTGTTTTATTTTGCACTGTTGAGAACTCTGGTAAGGCTTTTATTTAGCAGTTCTTGCTCCATCTCAATCGTGTTTGTCTCCTTTATTGTTCACAGTGTTTGTACTGATGACTGAATGCGGAGAGCTCACAGTCTGTGCAGATATCTTTGATAAACACTTGAAAATCTAATAACTAAAATCCCACTTCTCCAGTTGCTTTTATTTCTCTCCCTTTAAAAAAATATCTGATACTCTGTTGTCACAAAACCTATTTCTTATGTCACTCCAGAGCTCTCTGAGAACTGCTGAGTAATAACTGCAGTTTTTACAACAACACACAAAACACTGCTGTAAAACAAGAAATCCCTATACAGGCTGATGCAAACATGGCTTCTTGGACAGTCTTTGAGTGTTTCCCCTGTGTTTGCACACTGTTTGCCTGCATTATACTGTTGCCATCAAACACAGTTGTTTATCAGTGGCTACAAACGGGGGGGATGAAGAATATCAATAATTGTGCAGCTTCCTGGACAATTAATTCATGCATGTTATTGGGTATCACAGCAAGTGACCTAAGCAGGAGATTATACACACACGCACACACAGAGCAACAGATGTGTTGCCAATCAAATTAAAAGCGTTGTTATCTGTGACCTACAAATCCGCTTTGAAAAGTCATACATGGCTTTGGACTAATATATTTACTACAAGGGATTTTATTTACTCTCTGTATCCATGACAACAGCTGCAGATTTTGTTCGTGCTTCTGAAACACATCAGAGACCACCTGACCCAAACCACGAAAACCTTGAACAGATTCGGTCCAACCCTGTCACATTAGTGATCAAGCTCATGGTTGTGCTGGCCTCTGCAGTCTTTGGGTTCCTGCCCTTGCCAGCACACCAAAATTAATTTGGATACAGCCTTTAAAGGAGGAGCAGGGGTTGTTTTTCTGTGTGCATGTGTGTGAGATTTGCCCTTTAGAAGCATCAAGAGTATCAGCTGACTCATCACCTGATATGAGTTAGCAATGAGATCAGTTGATCGCTAGGTTTGTGGCACAGTAAACTTGTCCTATAGTGATGGAAATTACTTTCTCAATGCAAAGCTAATGACACTTTCTCTGCAAACTCGTTGCCAGTGCTCACCTTTTAGTCTGTCTGCTAACAGTGCTACCTCATGTTCAGAGTAGTGCACAATCGGAGGGGGAGATGGTGGCCGCAGTCTGTCTTCGTGGATCTTGCGGCGGTGTCTTTCCTCTCTGGCCAGTAAGCGCTGTTTACACTCCCACTCATAAAGGTCATCTCTGGCCTGGGCAAAGTCTACATGGATCTTCCCAGAGTCCTTTTTATCAGTGCTGGATCCGATACGCATCCGATACCCTGAAGAGGAGAAGGTGACACCATTATATTTAGGCATTTTCTACAACAGGTAGAGGCATGTCATTAGATTTGATCTGCCAGGCAGAAAATCATTAGGGTGAAACATGAAGATGATGAAGAATTATGAAAAATACAGTTCCTTAAATATCCACCTTAGACTGGGCCTAAAAATAAGCTCTTCTCACCCTCTCTTATAATATCTAGCTTAACAGTAGAAGTAGAAACAATCCACAAAATCAATTGTGGTGTCTATACTACTTTTCTTCTTTATGACAACTACCTGAAGGTGAATTTTATATAACTAAGCAATGAAAAATGATAATAAAGCTGAAAGTTATGCATAACAAGAGAGCGGTCAACTTAATAGATAATGATAGCTAGGTGCTACATCATCTTGTTTAGCATGCAGCTGTACTAAAACACACACTAGCAGATCTGCTGTTATGCTGAGTACATTTTATTAAAAACACAATTGTTTTTAGCTAGCATTTCATTAGCCTTTCAATCCAAACTATGGATACACCAAGCAAACCAAGCTACTCAGCCAAAGCTAGCATTAACAGATAACTAGCCAACTACCTTTTTATCCCAATATGGCCCGCTTTGTAAAAATCAAAACAACAACAACAACAAAAAACAAACCAAGACAAACAAATGAAAACAATATCCCAACTGCAAACTTGAGGCATTGTATTTCCCAAGAAAAGTGCTCACCTGACAGGTAAATAGCCTTGTCTACCATGAACTCCTCACTGAAGCGGATGTGGCAGAAGTTCTTCTTGCTCTTTCGGATGGCGATGATCTCCCCACATTGGTCAAACACTTCCCTGATGATTTCCTCTGTGGCGTTCTCTGGCAAACCCCCCACAAATACTGTCTTACAGCCGGGAGGGCGCTCCCGTGTCGAGGGAGGAGGAAGGTCTGAGGCACAATAAAAGGACCGGTTACATGATTATATGGCCATATCATCCACAGCTCTCCTGCTACACTGCAGTTTAAAGAGGGAAACTATTGATTTTTATGTCAAGTTTGAGCAATTAAAAAGAAAAAAAACAACAACATTTAAATAATAACATCTAATATTAAAATAGATTCCATCTCACATTTATGCTAATTACCTAAGTAACAGCCTGCAAAGTCTCACCACTAGATATGAGCAGACTGCAGTCAACTGAATTCAGTTTTTTAACCACTTCAAATTCTGCTACATAATTCTAACTATGATGGCTGCTGTAGGACAAACAACTCTGGTTGCCTTTCATCTGTTGTTTAGTGTAGGCTCTCAGCCTGCTGTTTACTTCAGCTGTCAATACGTGTCAATGCATATTTTTCTGGATACAGTGATACTGAGGTGAGTTGTTGAGGATATCCGAAACTTTTCTGTTGGTAAGCTCTGCTGTTTTTGACAGTGTTAACTGCTGTCAGTCGGCATTAGTGAAACTTTCTTTGAAGTCGAGCTAACGTTATTGGACTTGGACACTTAGCAAATAAACTCTCATATGGTCTGAGAATGTAATCAAACTGTTTATGAGAGGGAAAGCGTCATTTCTTTGGACACTCGAGTGTAACATTAGCTGGCAAAGTGTTATAAACAGCTGTTTTTGTTTAGCCAGCTCATTATTATCATTATATAAAAGATGGAGCTTGAGATGAGGAGGAAGAGAATTCAAAAATGCTTGTTGCATTGCCTCTTTCATGTTTTTGCTTCTTTGTTGAAGGAGACAACTTCTGGACTTTTTTCTATTAAATAAGTATATAAACATTACTGACTGTACCTTTGAGCTAATCAGTTTACTTTTACTAGCCTGATTTTGCTGTCTACCTTTACTGCAAAAGTCACACCCCTAAAAGTTTTCAAGTAAAGTTTATCGGTTCTACATTAAAGTACAGTCTTACTAGGGTTCTGAGGGAAGAGAGTGCAGCTCTTGCAGTGGATGATCTCCTTGATGACGGGCATGTCGGGGGGAACGGGTGGAGGGGGGACCAGGCTGATTCCTGCTATCATGGGGTTTATGGGTGCAATGAGTCCCAGCCCAGGGTCGAATCTCTGGATACACAGAGAATCTGCATGACAGAATAACAACAGATTACACAACAAAAACCATAATTTTTCATACTTTCTTTTCCAGTACGTAAAGAATGATATAGTCTGATTTCAGTCATGCTAGCGCCATGTCTCTAGGGATGGTGTGTCTGCTGGTTGGTGAGAGATATAACATCTATCCAATGAATGGAATGATGTAATGTTTTGTAAAGACATTCACGGTAAGCAGAGGTTAAATTCAGTGACTTGTTCTAGCATCATCACAACGTTTACATTTGTGGCTGTGAAAGACACATTTCAGCAACTTTTGTTAGCAACCCTCCCCAGAGGAAATTCTCTGTCACTGTAATTGGCAAATAGCAAACATATTTTCCTATTTAGACCATCCAAGGTCTAAATAGGAAAATATTGAAAAGTCTAAATGTGTGAAGAAGACACATTTGACTTTATATTATTGTGCTTTATTTTTAAATATCACTGTTATTATTATGAATATATGGGTATTGTGATGCCGCCGTTGTACATTTGCAATGCTTCACTTACACCTCAGTGACTGCCTCACAAGTTGGTCCTGAACTGGAGTTTCCACATGGATAAATTCCCTTTTCAAACGCTCATAGTTACCATCATTGGCACCGCCAAACTATTCAGGGGAATGGTTTATTCAGTACCAAGAGTTGGTATATTTAAGGGCCGTTATTAAACCAGTGGATGGTTTATTTATAGAGAAACAGGGCATATTTATAGAGGAAAGTGAGCTAAATCGGACAATAACCCATTTTTGTGAGAGGAGAAAACAAAAGCATTATTGGGTTATAATTGCACTTTAACATTTTTAAATCCTGTTGAAGAACCAATAAAACTGTTATTGTTGAGGTTTCTGTGTAGGTTCTTAGTTATCCAGGTCATGTGTGACTGTCGCTTTCTTTCCAAGCTCCTTTGACTATTGTTGAATTCATTAGGACTCTGGGACTTAGATGGCTGGAAGGTTGTTACCGTTAAAACCCGATTAGTGGTCATAACAAGAGCTCGTATATACAACATCAACCGCATATGCAGAAGAGAAAAGGAAATTAGTTAAAAAAGAAAAAGGAAGTATAAACGATCACTCTCTAGATAAGAGATAAAAGAAAAACTGGGGACTGGATCCTTGGAAAAGGACAAGAAAATATCATCTCGAGTGTACTAATGGGAAAAGCGCAAGGGAGGAGAGGAGAGAGGGAAGAAGAAAATCTCTGTTCTCTAGGACAAAGAGAAAGTGAGGAAGAAGGGGGAAGATAAACAGTGAGAGGACAGAGGCGACAGGAGCAATGCTTCAGCTGTCTGGGTGAAAATAGAACAGGCAGGTTGGAGGAGGGCGGAGCAGCATTGCATGTTCCTATCTTCAACACTGCAATAACAAGGGAGCGGGAGGAACAAACCGTCAGCAGAAAATCTCCCCCACCACCCCACCGCTGCCCACACAGCCACAACACCACAGAAAATAAAGTGATTCAGATTACAGGCGAGGGAAGCTGTCACACTCGGAAAGGACAAACGTCCCTTACAGAAATTCAATAAAAAATAAACGTTTCTTTTTTTCCTGCTTTGTACAGAGGATTGATAGAATGCACCAGTGATTTAGTGCGAAGGCTTTTACTCCTGCCGGTCTGAACATTCAGCACACTGCAAGCCTTCGTTGGAAACAATCAGCAGCTCATAGGAAGCACAGGAAGTGAGGCGCTTCAGTTAGCTTGGGATAAAGGGAAAAATATAAAATTACCAATGGTATTCTCAAACCGCTCACATTTCTTTCCTCATAGGCATTGCAAATCCCTTAAAACAAATGTGCCAAAACCTGTGGTTGCTGAAATGAGTCCGGTTCTAAAAGCATCTCGCTGCCAAGAGATGGATGCCAGGTGACCATACCCAGGTGCTAGCAGAGGCTTCACCTCTGCTAGTTGAGAGCTTACCTGTGGTTAATTGCACCCAGCCAAAAGTTATGCTTTTGACAAGTCATTTTCATAAGGTAGGGCAGTAATGAAGCGTCTCCATTTTTGTCCTTCCTTACAGTAGCCAACTCATTTGTATGTTAGTCAACACTATTTATTACATATCTGCCTCTTTGCATCTATACCATACATGAAGGCAACTACTTCAGTTTGCAAGTGTTAGCTGATAACTTTACACTCCACCGGCTCGTCACTTCTGCCTCCAAATGACCAAGATGACAAAGGATTGATTAGATGCTAAAATGTTAGATGATATATATTCATCAAATATTTTGTGCCTCTCAGATAAGGTAAGTGATGCTCGTATTCATTTGTTTTAGATTGTTTTTCTTTCCTTTCACAAGTAGATAAAGGTCTTTTGATGAATTTCAATTAAAAAAATTTATATAGCACCAAATCACAACAACAGTCAAGATAAGAACCAGGCTCAGAGAGGGGCGCCCGTCTGCCATGGCCGGTTGGGGGTGAGGGGAGGAAGACGGGATGAAATACACAGTGTGGAGAGAGGAGCTGTTGTAGGGAGCAAAAAGGAAAGTTTTACACCTAATCTTAAAAGTAGAGAGAGTGTCTGTCTCCCAAATGCAGGTTGAAATATCTTGTTATAGGGCCATCAGCCTGCAGCAGATATTCATGAGGATGGGTGTGTTACATATGGAACTGACAAAGATTCAGACTTTGGAAGGATGAGGACAGTTTTGGAGAGCATTCCAGAAGATGAATACTACTCCTTAGATTTTGTCAGTCCCCACGCTGCTGAGCTCAAGCTGAGATTTGCACAAAGGGAGTGATGTGGCCTGGTGCTTCACATCCTTCAATAAATAATACATTTGAATGATTATTAGATAAACCCTCCACAAGCCTCATAAAAGCATTTCTTGGAGAAAAATGGCCTTTATGCTGGTAATCTTTGGTCAGCACAATGCTAATAATTCCAGACATATACTAATTTGTACTCAGCATTAGATCACACCGAGTGCTGCAGGGTAAAACACATTTTGTTTAGCAAAGAGAAAAATGCTTCATGTACTCTTTATTACACATCTTGAGGCTTATAAAAAGAAAAAAAAAACACTTGAGAGATAATCCTCCATTAATCTGACCACATAGAGCCAAGATGCATTCAGAGATTCTTCAGGTCTTAGGAAAACTCATTAAAACGGCATCTGCGATACCCTCGACAGGTAAATTACACATCTCCTTGCCACACATTCATCATAATCACAAAAGGCTGGTTTTGTTCATAGCTTTTCCTCCAGGAGCCAAAGTGATTCAAGCCAGGTTCATTTCTCTGGCTGAGAGCTCTGCTGCGACTGCCAGACTCAGAAACAGAGGAAGGAATATAAGGAAGAAAAACACACACACACACACACACACACACACACACACACACACACACACACACACACACACACACACACACAAGTAACTGAAAAAAATTAAAACCAGAGCCATGAAGTAAAAAGACAGGCTCTGACAGTAGAAAAACAGTGATCGTGCCTTTAACTGTGCTTATTTAGTACTATACACTGGAACCACTGACAGAAACGCGTAGCATTGACCGTGCTGCGAAACATCTGGCTGTGATTAACATCAAGGTGAGAGCTCATCAGTCACGACACACCCATACAATGAAAAGTGAGCATTTAAATGTATCCTAATTGTAATCTTAACACAAATCACACTGGAGCTCTGACCTACATGGCCTCGTTTTTAGCCCTTAACAAATGGGTCCAGGTTTCACACATGTTTCCAATACTTTACAATATCATAACAAATGACTCTGCATATTAGTTCAAAGTGTTGGTACTTGTAATAAACTTAAATATATATACTTTTTAGATTCTGGACTTTTTTAACTGCATTACATCTGTGCAATAGCGAGGGTTAGCAGGATTAACATTAAAGTTTGCTTCTTATAACACAGAAGGACAGAAGCTGCAGTTAGGAAAGTTTACCTGCTTTATTTTTAGTCTTGAAGATTGGCCTTTGCACCTTTTGCTTAATGTTGCATTGTGACACTGTGGGCGTATAAGGAGACGAGACGACGAGAGGGCATCAGGTTCTTACAGGATTCTGTTTATTTTGTACAGATAACACAAAGTGTGAAATGATGCAGCATCAATGGCCATTTACTTTTGTTTCAGGCATTGCTTCTGTTGATTCTCACTGTAACTGTAACTCAAGTTAAGTCCAAACTAATTTATAAATAATTCTTGGTTTAAGCTGCTCAAATACACAGCAGGAAATTTGGTTCGCCCACCAGCTGCACTGGGCCCAGCAATCTTTAAGTCTTCTCTAAATTCATCAGGTCCACTTATGTGATGTCACAGGCTCCGCGTGCTTTGTCCTGCAGTGGTCCTTTTATATAGGGTCAAACAAACAACCTGCAAAAATCCAAACTACTATCAAGAAATCACCAAAGCAGACTGAGAGAACACAGATGAAACATACACACCAAAGAGAGATAAAAGGGCACAAGATGAACTGAAATGAGGCAGAGATGTGGGTGGGAAAAAGAACAAAGGGGAGCCACATGAGGAACTAAACTTCACAATAAAACACAAAGTAAACTCAGATCCACACACACATACTATTTTATTACTTTAAATAAAGTCTCTGAATACTATCAGCACCACTTTAAAAAATTAATAATTGTCTCCTAGAAACGTATGAAAGCAGAAACACATGTTTCTGTGGTATGACCCTTCAAAAGACACATATCTGATCCACTCATCCGTCTTTTTTTTCTGTCCGCCTTTCATTACCTAAATGTTCCCTCCCTCCCTGTAGTTTAACAAGGGAAGAGAGCTGCAGATGTTGCCAGAGGTGTAGTCTCATCACATCATCAGAGTGAAAGAGCATGTCATCATTTTAATATTTCCACTCGGATCCAGAGGAATTTGGTTGCTACGATGCTGTTTGTCCCTCCCTACAACAGCTCCTCTCTCCTCATTGTGGCTTCACTCAGTTAAATCCATGCATTCAATTATTCTGGACTTAACACACACACACAACCAACAACTCAACAAATCTCCCCACGTGCTCACATATTAAAGCCCCACAATGCAGCACTTATACAACGACAGCTCTTACATGGTAACACACATGCGACCATAAAGCTCAGACAAATCCCCACGTCTCAGAAAGACAATTTCGTAAATAGATCCTGAGGTGAAATTAAGCCCAGAGAAAGAGAAACCGAAGCAGAGCAGCTAGACACAGAGCTTAGTGTAGTTTTAGTTGAAATAACAAGTGAGAGCGGTTAGTCTGGAGCACAGCCACACTGTACACCCTGCTGAGGGACACAGAAAGCTCAGTTTTTAGTTGTGGCCTTGCATATATTTCTCTGGTTACACTTCGTAGTCCGCCGGGCACTTTTTGAGGTATATGGTTTACATATGAAAAAAGAAGAAAAAAAAGAGAGAACAAAACAGCAGTATTTATTATGTCCAGATGTTTCAGTTTATATTGAGACGAATGCTTTTTCCAGCCCTGCCCTCTTTAGCAAAGTGTCACAGTTTGATATATCTGGAAAATTTCTGCCTGCTGATGCAAGAAGCACTCTGTTCTTATAACAACACACAGATTATAAGAAAATGTCCAGCGTTCATAATGATTAATATCTGCTTTGTGGTCCAGGAACGCTCCAAAGATTCACAGGAAGAATCTGTTGGGGGATAATTAATAGGAGAGCAAAGAAAGGCTGCAGAGCAGTGCTGGCTGGTACATTTAGTGTTGGCTGAGAAGTGATAAAAGCAGTCAGGAAGCTACATTTAAGTTTTAGATATGTCACTGAAACAGAATTAAATACAAGTATTTTCCAAAAAATTCTTCAGATTAAATAAAAGCCAAAAGATTTTTTTAAAGCAAGTGAAAGAGAATTTCACAAAGGATGAAATACTAGAAAAACATCCTATCGTTCTGACATGCTCGGTGGGTTTGTTGGGGTAGCAGGTTATTATATGACATCATTCTCAATGTCATTGTGTCCTCATGCTAAATGTATGCATCATTGCTTTAGTCAAAACAAAACAAACCAAAAAAAGATAGATGTTTGCACATGTGTTCAGGTCAGGTCCGACTAACTGCTTCATCCAGAATAAATAAATAATAACGACTAAGTTCGTTTCAGGTTGCTTTTCTCCCTATCAAGTAACCAGTTCCATCGCTGAGCCGCAGGTCTTCCAACAATCCTCACATGGTTCCCATCCCGTGTCCCCCTCTGTAGCCAACTATGGTGCACATTTGTGCACACCCTGTTTTTCTTGTTTTGGACTGATTCACACGGATTCAGTGATATTTCTGAGCCCCAGGTTACAATCAAAAACAGGACACGCAGGCTTGAATAAAAAAAGTTCAATGATACACCTAGGTTTTTACTTTTACCAAGAAATAACACGGCAAGGACAGGATGTACTAACAGCTTGTATGAGTGCAAAACTTTCTCTAAGCACAGGAGAACGTGGGATTTACTAAAGAGGTGCAGTAAATGTTTAGTGATGGAAAGGCATGGTCAGTAATTTTGATGTATCCAGAGAACAACTCTCTCAACTCTTTTTGATTTTGCTCATTAATCAAAACATATTGATTCTTTTCCACTGCCTCACATCAACCTGACTTTCATGTTGTTTCCAGTCAGCACCAGATATGCAAAACTCACTTCTCCAATTTTTCTCACTGTTCAGTCTGTTTCTCAGGGCCCAGATAACAGGCTGTTATCTGGCTTACAGACTCGAGCCTTTTTAGTGCTGGTGGAAGTGGTGGGACCATAACATTGCCTCGTGTGGTGAGTGATTTTATTTCCATCTGGAGAATTTGAGAGTCTCTTTAGGTAACATTAAGCGGTAATAACTGAAGCAATACAGCCCTTGTACCTTCTACATGAAGACCTGTAATATACATATCCACAGATTTATGGTTGCTGAGAGCTTCTGAAACTGAGACAATCAAATACAAACCAATGCATTCATCGGACAAACAGGGCCTGGATCCAGAAATGATCGAGCAGCATATAAGTTTATTCACCTTACTTAACATCTGTCACATATCCATGATATTTACAGAGCGAATACGACGACTTCTGATATTTCACAGGTGTTTATATAATTACTCTCTTTTTAAAAAATCCACTTAACTCCATCCTCGAGGTTTTCGTACCACGAACGTGCTGCTAGTTAACAGACCACCTGTTGTTTTTTTCTCACATAAGAGGTGATAGGGTTAAAACACTGAGCTGCACAGCTAAAATTCTGCTAAAATGAGAACATGCTTCCTTATTTCCATGATTGTACTTGAAGTAATTGTTTTGAATGAATGAGACAAATGAGCCAAGAACTTTTAATTATTGGTAATCTAAACAGTTCAGAAAATGTTGTGAACCTGGGTGTCAGAACAGAATCAATCACCAGTGTGACAAAAAAATTCATTGGTGAAACCTCAGTAACACAAGTTGGACAATGTAGAGTGGAAGTTTGTAGGGTAAGGATATGATTCTGAATAAACAGAACCAGCCCTTTAAAATATTCCTAAATGAACCTTCATATCCATCCTTGGGATCAGCTTGGGATATATATATATGTAT